GCCTTTCTGTAACCCCATCTGTGTGCACTGATAGTATACATAAAAATGGAATTTAGGCTCTCCACACCTTTTGTCATGAATAAAAGAGAACTGCAGTCTTCAGACTTACATAGATGCTGTCTGAAAAATTAGTCTAATTTTCCATTCATTCATTCATGAAAAAAGTAATTCCCCACAAACCCTGTCCCCAGGATATTCCCCAATGGTTATTTGGTGTATGAGAACTGAAAAGCAATTGTTTGCATAACTTTCAGTACATATAAACCACGCCCATCTCCCTATCATCTTCCCAGTACATAACTCATCCAAGTAACTATATTCACATTGAACATAACGCTTCTGTTCAGTACATTGGATATTCTTCAGAAGTGACAAAATCTATGCCTGAAATCAATGTTATTTCTACGCAGCATCCTAATTATGAATGTGTTGGAAGTATCCTTTATCATTGTTTAATTGGATTCTTTATTTTTTTTAAAAAGAAGTCCTTTTTCTCATGCTCCTTTTTAACATTCTTTTTGTCAATAGTTATTCGTTCAGTTGAGTTGGAGGAAGGTTTCTTGGTCCACTGTGTATTAGAGATGTCAACTTATTTAGAAATGGTGGATGTCTCAAAATTTACAGTTAGGTTTTAGAATATCACTTAACACACAGTGACCAGAGACAACCTTCACCTCAAGTGATTTTTGATCCAATTTTAGACACACACACACACACACACACACACACACACAGAGACACACACACACACACACAGAGACACACACACACACACACACAGCCATTGCACCCCTTCCCTCCCTCTAACATTTACATATTTTATAATATATAAAATATATATTTATGATTAGAACTGACCGGTTCTGTGACCGTTGTAGTATAGTTTACAGCAATGGGCACACTTTTATCAGCCAGTGGTGTACTGTGGTAGAAAGTTAAACTAAAGCCCTTCAGATACTGCTACCAGGGTCAGTATAATCTGTAGTGTGCTAGTCATTTATAACACACCCTGCAATAGTAAGGGTTTGCGTCATATTTAGTTTGCCTCATTTAAAGAGCAGGATACTTCATCCACCTCGTGGTATGAACACATGTTCCAAAACATGAAGGCACAACTTTTTTTTTTAAACATATTTCTTCCTCAGCTCCAAATTACTTTCCTCCTCTGTTTCAAAGGCACTGACTGGTGAGTTCAGCACCATCTCATGGTAGAGGAAGATTGAACCCAGGAGAAATTGTAACTGAGAACAAATTTGTCCTCGAATCAACATCTACACACACCACACATAAGTGCCTGACTGTTGGAGTCATTGGATAGCAATCTGGAGCAGGAACATTTTCTGATTTTTCTGTTCTGTCTTCTAGTTAAGAGGTCCTAAGCCCAATTATTGCATCTCAAATTGTTTCTTTGCTGAGATCAGCTTACTCTGCGTATGAAACTAGGCCTTGTATGGCTTCGTTCCATTTTCAGAAGTATACAACTTAGGCATTGAAGACATTTTTAGTTCTTGTGGCACATTATCACATACAGGGTATGTTATAAGTTGAGCACATAGCACATTAATATGTAATTTTCAAAAACCTATCAACATTTTTGATAATTCTATAAAATTAATATGAGGCTTTTCACCACATTTGCATGCACTGAACCCTCTATCCCCATTTACACTCTTGATGAACGTAGCTCTTTTAACTGGTTCTGGGAGTACTCACTCCCGTATTGTTCAGCATTTTCTTGCTGAATTAATTTGGCCCAAATGGTTTCTGCGTTGACAAAAAAAAAATCTGTTGGATGCAAGAAACCATCTTGAGCATATCTTTGAACTCAAGGTGCTAGAATTGTCTCAGTTCAAGGAACAGATGGTATAGATCTGAGTATTGTTAAAAACTCTGATGTGACGACATTTTGGGGGATATTGTGTCTGAATTATTGATACTAATCTGATGCATGGGGCATAGTCAGTGTGTAACAGGCTTTTAGGCTGAATGGATCAGTCAAACATCCAAGACAGCTTCAATTTCTTAGAAGTTCAGTATTTACTGATTTCTGAATAAGTCAGTCATTTTTGATTAGAATTAGATGTAACCATTATTAATCACTCCATATTAGATTGGCATTTCAATAAGATCCAATGAATTCAATGCCCCCCCACCCCTCAAACTGTTTCAGGTAATTGTCTTAAAAGTTGATGCAATGCTGATATTTGACCATTGGATGCTGCCGGCATATTCAATGAATACTATTTACAAGCCATGTTTGTCGCATGGAAAACTTTCAGAAGGTGAGACATAATGGAGTCTTCCTGCTGATCCTTTAGGTATTCCTGTTTTTGCAGTCTGCTCACTTCAGCTCCGAAGGCTTCCCAGCCGAGCTACTAATATCTGAATCCATCTTGTAGAGATTAGGGGACGTCAGGGTTAAATAGCTGTTTGTGAACATGCACGGTGATACGTCAAATTGTTATAATAGAGTGCGGAATATGCAATTACTGCCAGTTGTTTAGATCTCCCGACAGTTAAATCCACTTAAGCACAGTAGATTAGTATCAGAGACCAGCTTTTCCATCAACATGTTCTACCATGTCTACATTAAAGTCTGCTAGTCTTCAGTCTGAACAACCACAATCAGAGGAATAATATCTCATCCTTGCTGAACCCAACAGCGTTCGACAGTCAAGTTTGTGCATAATTTTTAAAGAGTTCTTAACGTTATCAGCTAGTGTTTTTTTTTCTGTCATGTGTAGTTGAACTACAACAGTCGTAGTGTGAGAACAATGGATAAAGCCCTGACTATTCTGACAGTTGGAAACTACAGCATTCTGAACCTTCAGCTGCAATGTCCATTTTCAATTTGGTTTCCACTGAAAGCTATATTGGTATAGTCAGTGGTTTACTGGTCTTTATACTGGCAGTCATTATCAACCAGTTGAGGAGAAAGAGCCATGTTGCTAGTTTGTTTCGTATCTCAAATCTTTTACATGTGCAAATCCTGCTTTCCTAGTACCTCAAACTGCCCATTCAACAGAAGCCCACAGGCCACTGGCAAACATTTAGCTTGCAGACCTTGTTTATTATGAATACGACAACGTAATGAGATCATTACGTCATTGAAGCGTGGGAACTCATAGCCAGACTCTAGGGCCATGTAACTGTCCGGAGTTCACAATTTATGACCAGTTTGTATGAGCTCTTTTGCGCCAATTAATGTTAAACTGGGATGGTCCCAGACCCAATATAAACAGATCATTAATGTCTATTGGCATGGATACTACTACACAGTGGGTCTGCATCTTCTGGGAGCCTGACAATTAACAGCCACTGGAGTGAGGAGACTTTCATCTGCCTGGTACCTCAGCTGGATTCAAACGTACTTCTCGGGAATGAACGGACCTGAACATATTAGCACTCTTCACTAAGCCCCTTATATGTACAAAAGCTGCTTTGTCTGGCTCCTTGTTCTAATTGCACTATGGAGACCTATTTTCTTTTAACAACCCAACCTGAACCCTGCAGAACAAACATGAAAACCAAGTGACCTTCAGAAAAGGCATGTTAAAGGTTAGAGAAAGCTTTGCCAAGAACTTGCCAGGATCCTAAATAAAACCATGAAAAGTCTCATGCATTTTCTTTGTAATCACCGCACAGCCCCCTAACCCAAGCCCCACATCTCTCTTGCTGGAAGGAATGGATTTCTCACTGAAGCACTACCATAGGAACAGTCCAACCATCATCACCTTATTGTTATTCCCTGTGAATTGAGAAAGTAAAGGTTGTGAAGCTATCCCATCATGACCAGTGTTAGTGGCATCTTTGCTTAAACCCAACTTACTTTCACACTCAGGCACTAACAATAGGTGTCAGATTGAAATAATTAGGAATTGGGGGTAAGGCTGACTGTCCTGTCTCTAACCCTGGAACACTGCTCTCACTTTCCCCAACTAAGATTATATAGTTCAGCACTGGGAATGTACCCTACTCAAAGGACAACTGTCTCCAACTCATTTTTGTTTCTGTTATCAGCACATTTCCCTCCTAATGTCTTTGGGTCACTGGCTCTTGCAGCAGCATCAGTTGCAGGTGTTTTACACCAGTAGCCATTCCTCACCAAACTAAGTGATGAACTTCAGCATTCTGCACATTTATGAAAGTTGTCCCAGCCAAACCCCAAACTTAACCTCAGGTTCATTTCTAGCAAAGGTTACTGGACAGTAATCAGAAATTGGTACTTCCCTCTCCTTAAGAGTTGGGCACTTAGGTCTGTTGCATTAGCACTATCTCCATCCCAGCAGAAATTAGTTAATTCAATATAGGCAGAGAATCAAATGTAAGTGTTCTCTGGTCTGTGGTTTGTCATTATGTCAAGGAGTACATTTGCTCCCTAATTTCGTAGAATGGTCAAATGCAAGGAGCAAATTTCATAAATTAGGTGTTCTCAATGATGCCTTGAATATGGCCCGAATTCCCACTAAATATGTTAAATGTTTGGTGGTTGTGTCTACCTTTTTAGTAATCATTTATTCTCATTGGGTTTGTCTACTAGTTACATGTCGACCTTTTAAATTGCTTCTTTACTCTTCTGTACTTCAGTCCAAATGAAAGCTGCTAGATCTTCCATCTTTACCTAGCCTGTTTAATATTTAGAATGTTCCTAAGTATTATCAATAATTACCTAATTGAGGGTTGAGTGATACACATGGACCTTAAACTGAACAGCCCCAGTTGTCAGTCATTGGAACTGCATTTCCCAAATTCCTAATTGGCTTGTGAGTGAGATAGTTACTGAAGGTTTCATTTGATATGTTCAGTTGCTGCTGAAGGCAGTTAATTATATCCAGGATGTTGGAGTGAATTGGTTTCTCTCGAACCAGGTGCTAAACCGAGACTGATATTTATCTTCTCTGTATTGTTTGACTTCTGACTTTAGCTCTTTGAATCCAAGAGAGGTGTGATACAGTTTATACATTTTCTGTACATTAAAAATGGAATTCTCTCTTTGCATATTTGAGGACTTATTGGGATTTATTGCAGTATTTCCTCAGGCAAATGTCCATGGTCCTCACCATGACTCCCCAGGGCCCTTCCCATTGGAACATGGGAGCATTAGTCTTTGCACGTGTAAATCTCTTCTCTTTGAGTACATTGCTTACACTCCACATAACAGCACCAGCGTACTTGGCACTGACAGGGTCGCGTCACTACTCGGCTCTGAGTATTGTGTCCCCGACCACAGCAGATGCTCTCACAGTTCTTGTCCTTATAGCACTTGCGTGTTGCAGTGCCAGGTGAGTACTTGCTGGGCCGACAGAAGCTTGGTGAGTCATCAATGTAGACCAAGTCAGTAGTCCTTGGGATTTGATGTTGTTGGTGATGGGTAGCAGCAATGGCCTTTTTCGGTGGTGTAATCTCTCCTTCCCCAGTTGCTTCATTGGTCGTGCTGCCTACCTTGAGCGAGGTTTCATATTTCAACTTGAGCAATTTGCCAATCTCGTGGAAAGGGGACAGCTGCCTCCAGCACGTCTGAACAGTACAGGAACCAGAAACGCCGTGGCATTTGCAGGTGGTCTCCACGCCAGATTTGATAACCTGTAGGCATGACAGGAATACAGAAATCAGTCAGTTTTAAAAACATATATAACTGGGGACTCAACAGTAAGGATCAGATGAGAAGTAAACTTAGTTTCACAGAACTACACACCATTTGGCCCATTGTACCTATCTGGCTCTTTATCCTACTGTACTACTGTCTTTGATCTTTCTCCATAGCCCATGAAAATCCTGCTTTTCAAGGATCTACCCAATTCATTTTTTAAGCTAAATTTGCTTTCATAACATCGTGGTTTGCAATTCATAACAACTCAGTGTGAAGAAATGGCTCTTTCATCTCACTATTAGTTCTCTTGGTAATTATATTAATTCAGTGTCCTTTGGCTATTAATCTTTCTGCTAGTGGAAACCATTTCTCTCTACCCACTCTATCAAAACTGTTGCGTTAGCATTATCTCCATCCCAGCAGAAATTAGTTAATTCAATATAGGCAGAGAATCAAATGTTAGTGTTCTCTGGTCTGTGATTTGTCATTATGTCAAGGAGTACATTTGCTCCCTAATATAGTAGAATGGTCATATGCAAGGAGCAAATTTCATAAAATAGGTGTTCTCAATGATGCCTTGAGAATGGCCCGAATTCCCACTAAATATGTTAAATGTTTGGTGGTTGTGTCTACCTTTTCAGTAATTATTTATTCTCATTGGGTTTGTCTACTAGTTACATGTTGATCTTTTAAATTGCTTCTTTACTTCTCTGTACTTCAGTCTAAATGAAAGCTGCTAGATCTTCCATCTTTACTGTCTCACTGTATCTTCTCGCAAGACTTATTGACCAAAGGAGAACAATCCCAGCTTTTGTACCCTCTGCAAAATAATTGAAGTTCTCCATGCCTCCTGTAATTCTAGTAAGCATCCTCCAAGTCTTCTCCAAGGCTTTGACATCCTTTCTAAAGTGTAGTGCCCAGAATTGGATACAATATTCTAATTGTGATGTAACCTATGATTTATTAAAGTTTACCATAACTTCTTTAGAGAGGTTGCTGTAAAAAGACTACTTCATTTCAAAATATTTATGGCTGTAGTTTTTGTGGGAATTCTCCCTGTAGTCTACAGTTAATTTAACAGATTATTGGTGGAAGCATAAGTGGCCAGTTGTGCCAAATTTCTCCAGAGCTTCCAAAAAATCTGTCGAGGTTCAGTTTGTGCTCAGTAGTGAGAAATTTTTAACATCAGGAAATTAAACCTTGTCCATCTCAAATATTTTCAAGTTAAGTACAGGATGGTTAAAAGATTAAAATTCACTCTACCCTGCTACAACAAGAAACAGCTGCATTTATTTAGCATCTTTCATAACATCAAGGTGTCAAAAGCACTTCACAGCCAAGTAGATAGACTCCAACAGAGCAGCTATCCTATGCACGGTAATGTCTGAAAGTCAGCAGTGAGAAATGACTATTCAGTAATGGCCATTGAGAGAGTAATATTTGTTAAGCTGCCTGTGGATGTTCTTGTTTTGCTGTGACTTATGGCTACTTCATTTCTTATGTTCACATGAGGTTTTCATTTTCTTAAGTGAAATAAGTTTCATTTCTTTATAATCCTGTCAGCCTGGACTTGAATCAAATTCACCGAGATAGAAGACCAATGTCAGATTGACAACATAACCCACTCATTTTCAGAATAGAAGAAAGACAAAGATTCTAAGATCTTTCCAATTTCAGGATACAAGCCAACTTTTGTAAACACGTCGAAGTCCAAATCTGTTTCAAAATGACCAACTCACTCGCATTGACCTCAGTTTCAGCTTCTCATTCATTACTCAATCCCATCTCTTATGGAATCATTGAAAGATTACAGCACAGAAAGGGACCATTCAGTCTATCAGTTTGTGCCAGCTGTCCACAAGTACAATTCCAAACTCTTACCCCAACGCCCTCTAAACTGTTCCTTTTAAAAGTAATTATCCAGTTTACTTTTTAAAGGTACAGTTGAATCTGCCTTCACCACTCTCAGAGCAAATTCCAGATCTTACCAACTCATTGTGTAAAAATGTTTTCTTCATGTCGCCTGTGGTCCTTTTACCATTCATGTCACTTTGGTGTGCCCTACTTCTCGATCCTTCTACTAATATGATCAATTTCTCTCCATCCACTCTGTCCAGACTTCTCATGAACTTGACCTCTTCTATTGTACCTTCTTGTGTCTTCCCCAAGGAGAACAGCCCAAGTTTTCTCCAGTCTATGTACTCAAAGTTCCTAATCCTGTGAACCATTCTCCTAAATCTGTTCTGCACCTTCACTAAAGCCATCACTATCTTCCTAAAGTGTTGTTCATAAAACTGGACTGAACTGAGGCTGAATAGCAACATAGAAACAAAAGTAGGCTATTCAGCCCATTGAGCTTGTTGGACCATTTAGTATGATCTTGACTGATCAAACATTCCATTGCCTTTTACTCAGAAAATCCCATGACCTCTACCTTAGATATACTAAAACACTGAAATGCCATAGCCCTCTGAGATAGAGAATTTCAAAGATTCACCAGCCTCCAACTGAAATGAAATCTCCTCACCTCAGGCCTAAATCACACGTTAGACTTCTGTGACACTTAACAAGGACACCCAAGTGCCTTTGCATATCTATATTTTCCAATCTCTCACCATTTAAGAAGTACTCTGCACATCTGTTCTTTTTGCCAAAGGGGACAATCTCACATTTTTCCACATTACATTCTAACTGCCATATTTTTGTCCAATTACTAAGCCTGTCTAAATCCCCTCAAAAAACATCTTACAATTTCCCTCACAACACACATTCTTGCTTAACTTTGTATCATCAGCAAATTTGGAAATATTATATTTGGTCCCATGTCAAAATTATTGTATACATTATCAACATCTGGAGGTCAGAGTTCTGATCCTTTTGGTACCCCACTCGTCATAGTCTACCAATGCAAACATGGCCCAATTATTCTTACTCTCTGCTTTCTAACTTTTGGCCAATTCTTAATTCATGTCAGCACATTACCTCCTATACCATGTGCTTTAACTTTGACTCAGGTGACATTAAAAATATGGAGCTACAACTGAGTATTACTTCCAGGGGAATTTGTCAGTCTTATACAAATAATGAATTATGGGCACCTGTAAGATATTTGGACTCTCAATCCTACTCCACCATAAGAGCATGGCTAATGCTATAGTGACCTTATCTCTACATTGCTATTTATTTTATAACTTTAGACTCCCTTGTTAGTCAAGAATCTATCTACCTTTGCCTTAAAAATATTCAATAGCCCGGTCTCCCTTTCCATCATTGTCTGGGGAAGAACTCCTAAGACAGAAAACAAATCTCATCTTTACTTTAAATAGCTGGCACCTTATTTTTAGGCTGTCTACTCTAGTTGTAGTCTGTCCCACAAGATTGGCTGACCTTTCAGCACCCATCCTGTCGGGTCCCCTCAAGTTCATGCATTTTTCAATAAAGTCACCCCTCATTCTTCTTAACTCCAATGGATATGTGCTCAACCAATAAGATAATATCCATCTGCCCCCCTCGCTCCATCCCAGGAGTCAGTCGAGCAATGGAATTATTATATATCTACTGACCTTATATATCTAAATGGTAGAGGTTGCAGGTTCTAAGGTTGACTTGTTGAGTTGCTCTAGGGCAGTCACAGTGGGAGAGAGCTTGGAAATTTGAGGTTACACATCACTTACAAACTGGGTGACTGAAGTAAAGCTCACTACATCCTTTGTCAAGATAAATAGGTACGTGGGGCTGGGATATTATAACCATTACAGAAACATAGCTAAGGGAGGGACAGGACTGACAGCTTAATGTGCCAGTGTAGAGGTGCCTTAGGTGCGACAGAGGTTAGAGGAAATGGGGAGGGGGGAGTTGCATTTTTGATTAAGGGGGAGTAACACAGCAGGAGTAAAAGATGAAATAACTGAGGGATCATCCAGTGAGGCTTTGTGAATGGTGCTAAGAAATAAGAAGGGATAGTGATGGTATTGGGGTTGTACTATAGGCTCCCAAACAGTCAACGCTAAGTAGAGGAACAAATTTGCAGGGAAATTGTGGAGACTTGCAGAGAAATAGGGGTGTCATTGTGGGGGATTTTAATTTTCCTAACATAGACTGGGACTGCCATAGTGTTATGGGCTTAGATGGGGTGGAATTTGTTCAATGTGCTCAGGAAAGTTTCCTCAAGCAGTTTATAGAGGGTCCTACTCGGGAAGGGGCAAAACTCGACCTACTATTAGGAAATAGGGCAGGACAGGTGACTGAGGTGACAGTGGGGGAGCACTTTGGGACCAGTGACCATAGTTCTATTAATTTTGAAATAGTTATGAAGAAGGACAAAACAGGTCCACAAGTTCAAGTTCTAAATTGGGGCAAGGCAAATTTTGATGGAGCTTGAAGAGGCTGATTGGAGTCATTTGTTTGCAGGCAAATGGGGCCTCTGGCAAGTGGGAGGCCTTTAAAAGTGTGATAGCTGGAGTTCAAGGTCTATATGGTCCTGTGAGGGTGAAGGGCAAGATCGGCAGAAGTAGGGAACCCTGGATAACAAGAGATATTGAGGCTTTGGCCAGAAAAATGAAGGAGGCATGGCTCAGGAGCAGGCAGCTGGGATCAACAGAATCCATGGAGGTACATAGGGGATACAGGAGTTTACTGAAGAAGGAGATCAGGAGGATGAAAAGGGGGCATGAGATAGCTTTGGCTGAAAAGATTGGGGTGAATCTAAAGACATTCTTCAAGTATATTAAAGGAAAATGAATAACTAGAGAGAGAATAGGATCCCTCAAGGCCCAAGGTGGACATGTATGTGTGGAACTGCAAGAGATGGGCAAGGTCCTCAATGAATACTTCACCTCTGTGTTTACCATGGAGAAGGACAAGATGACTTGGGAACTTGGGGAAGTTAGTGATGATATCCTGGGAGCAATCCATATCATAGTAAAGGTGGTATTGGAAGTATTAGAATGTATGAAGGTGGATAAACCTCCTGGTCCAGATCAGATGTATCCAA